AATCAAAATTTGAAGTTCTTTTTGGAAAACTGGGACGCCATGTCATCCGGACTAAAGAGGACAAGGACAACCCAAGTTGTTATCAGCGCTCAGTTCAGAAGCCTGCATCTCTGATGGTATGGGGTTGCATGAGATGCGACAAAGAAGACCTAAGACAGTTGAGCAACTAGAAGCCTGTATTAGACAAGAATGGGACAACATTCTCCTCAGTCCCCAGACGTTTGCAGACTGTTATAAAAAGAAGAGGGGATGCCACACAGTGGTAAACATGGCCTTGTCCCAACTTTTTTGAGATGTGTTGATGCCATGAAATTTAAAATCAACTTATTTTTCCCTTAAAATGATACATTTTCTCAGTTTAAACATTTGATATGTCATCTATGTTGTATTCTGAATAAAATATTGAAATTTGAAACTTCCACATCATTGCATTGTTTTTATTCACAATTTGTACAGTGTCCCAACTTTTTTGGAATCGGGTTTGTACATCCTTCAGAAAACTCTGGTTCAACCCACTTGCCGATACAGAGGACTCCGGCATCTCCTCAAAGGTGTTGAGGTCCAGAGGTTGGCCACCCAGCTGCTCCTGCAGGTAACGTGCTGTAGTCCTACAGAAGCTCTGCATGGACAGAGAGATGTACTTCTCTCTGATGAACAGAGCTTTGACCACACATTTAGCAGCATCCAGTAGGTCAGTGAACGGAACCTGGGGTGTGTGAGAGAAGACGACTCACTTAAACATGGTCTGTCTGTCTTCGGAAACAAGTATGAGTGGGTCAATGATTCATTCACTTAATCATTTTGTTAAAAAAAAACACTGAAGCCACACTTAAAATCACATACTAGGTACCACATTTAGTTTTAAACAAACTAAAACGCATTCTATAAAGTATGAATATGGGTAGTATGAATTAAATTTGGACATACTACCTCCACCATGTTGTCAATGTCATGGGACCTACCAGTGTCAGTTGCGAAACTTGCGACACTTCATTTCCAACTACTGTCCCATGGCTTCATGGGATAGTAAAGTGCTTATCAAATGTGGTCGGACATAGTAGGTAATTCGGGTACTTTTAGAATACTATAAATTCAGAAATACTACTCTTTTAGCGTACTGTTTTCTGCATACTATACAGTATGGAAGTAGCCATATTTGGACGCAGCATGCTTCATTAAGGGAGAAAACAAGTTTAAGTGAATCACTGAATTTTTTACTCAATCGATTAGTTTAAAAACACAGATTCATTCAGAAATTAAACCTAATTTCTTAGAGACTGTCCGGTAGATGCTTGAGATGTTCAGCAGTATGCTTTGACTTTCTAACTTTCTTTGGCAGAACAAAACCAAAGTTACTCTGAAATGCAAGTTACTGAATATGTACTTCTTATTTATTGGACTCATTTAAAAATATCACGTTTGCAATTTTGCCGTTGGTCTGAATATCACCTGATCTTTAGAACACCAGCACAACTGCAGATGTGATTGCCTAAACCTATCTACATCTTTCTAACCTTTCTAAGGAGACAGTTGAACAGTATAGTAGTTGTAGCAAAGGTCCATTTCTCTTCCAGAACCACAGATTCACGATTGTAAAAAAAGCTGTTTTAAAAGTTGTATTTGTTTATAAATTTTTTACTATTACTGTTCTGTATTTCCCTCTTTCAGTTCCTCTTTTTCTTGAGAAAACCTGTCAGCTGTGTTGCTGTCAGCTCATGTTTCCCTCAGGAATTTGTGTAACTGTGTGGATGTGTGAAACTTGGTTCTCCCTCAGGAGTTTATATAATATCTGTAGTGTCCACTTCAGTTCTGTCAACAACATCTTGTTTCTGTATAACAAACAAAACAGAAAAGTGAAAAACTGAGCTGTTGCTACCCCACATTTCTCCTCTCCAGTGATCGTGACTCTCTGATACTCCCTCTCAGGGACGAGCTCTCTCTCAGGATAGAGTTCTTTGGGTGCCTGGCTTTGTTCTTTCATATACCTGAGAAAGAGTAAAGGTACAGCATGCTGATACTAGTTAAAAAACACTGGGTCCCACATGAATGATCACAGAACATCTTAAACACTCACTCTAGATCTGTCGCACTGTCAGTTTTCATTAAGTCCTGTTTGGCTCGGAGTAGGATATCAGGCTCAAACCTCAAGAGAAATGGCATTTAAATTAACTCACTGTGGGTCAAGGGTCACATGTGCATACAGAGCAGTGAATGTTGGACTAATATTGGCACATGAAGTGATGAGTGAAATTTTCATTACACATTTTCAGCTGAAAAGACTAGTACAGTTGGACATCAGCATGCCATATGTTGTGTTTCAGTTGCTGGACTACAACATGAGATGCTGATGTTCCCAGAAGGCTATTTAACTACACTACCTGTCAAAAGTTTGTGGTTGGTAACATTTTTAATGTTTTTGAAATAAGTCTCTAATGCTCATAAAGGTTGCATTTACTTTATGAAACGTACAGTAAAAACGGCAATATTGTACAATATTATTATAATACTTTACTATTGTTTTCTATTTCCATACATTTAATAATGTAATTTATTCCTTTGGTGGCAATGCTGAATTTTAAGCAAATATTTATTCAATATAGTATTTTGTTGCTAAAGACTTTTTTTTTTCCTCAGATTTTTTTGATGAATAGAAAGTACTTTATTTGGAATAGAAATATTTTGTAACCTTTTACTTTTTTACTGTCACTTTTGATTAATGTAATATGTCCTTGCTGAATACAAGTAATAATTTCTTTCAAAAAAAAAAAAAAAAAAAATTTATATATATATATATATATATCTTACTGACCCCTACACCGGATGCGACAGTTGTCGCACCGCAACAGCTAATGTCTGTCTACACTGGACGCGACAAAGTGACCGCTGCAAATCATTTGAATTTTGTGTCAGTATGTCATAAATAGAACAAGGCAGCAGTTTACTGTCAGGGATTTGTCGTGTCATATCCAGTGTAGACAGCATCATTGATTATAATGGTTTCTATAGTATTTTGTTGCGTCCTGTGTAACAATAGTATATCTGTTGGTTGACTAGCTTTACTACTTTACTAGCATTAGCTTTACTTTGACATTAAAAGTTTGTTGGCCATCTGGCTTTAGGAACTTTGAAGGTTACGAGGTTATAATCATGGATGTGTTTAATATTACTGAGAAAAAGTCAGAAAGCTTGTGTATTTTAGGCACTACTGTCAATGGTCGAGTTTCATGATGTAGTACTTGATATCCTGGCTGATTTGCCGCTCCAGTCGGTGCCGCCTCTCCTCCAGCTGCTCAATAGGGCTCTCCTCAGGGAACTCATATGGAGCACTCCGCATCTCACTCTCCGTGAGGCTGCGCGAGAACAGCTCCTAAACACACACATTTACATAACAGCAGAAACAAACACAAAAAAATGGATTCAAGCATCGTGATTATTGTGATTGCTGCTTTGTTTACCTCTGCAATCTCTTTGTATTTGCCATCCATGGAAGTGCGCAGGTCAATGTGGCCGTGCTTGGTTACAGGGTTGCCAGGCAAAGAATACTGGGACGTGAGGAGGTGTCGGCCAACACGGAGATCTACTAGGAAGATAATGAGAGAGAGAGATCTTTATATTTCAACAGAGATGTCTTAATTGGCTTTCATTTTTAAAACATTCTGATCTTGCGGAAATTAATATGGAGAAAAACCATTTGAGGATAAATTTTGAACCATTTTATTTAGCCTTGTTTTTCTGCTGTCCAGAGAAAGGCAGGGTCAGAAAGCTGCTGAAGATCCGCAACGGTTTGGCTCACAAAACAATGGAGCATTTTATATTGTATTGTATTTATATGTTATATTGTAAGCCAAAGTATGATTAAGCATGATTTTCCTTTCATATTCAGTTATTATCACAATATTTTGCTTCACAAACAAATGCTTCCAAACACTTTCACTTTACCGTGAGTTCACTTTACCCTTCTGCTCGAGTTCCATAGTTCCCATGAGTGATATCAATCTTCCTAAACTCTGACACTTGATCAAATATTCATAACCCTGATGAATAATTAAGCAGCCATGTCTAGCCCCTGCACTGCAGAGAACTGGACATCTCGTCCCACCGTGAAAGCACACAGGAAACGGATGGGGTATATAGATGGATTCCCCTTGTTACAGCCACCAGCAGGATTCATGAAGTTCCTGCAGATCTAAAAATGTGGCAAATCTCAAAAATAGTTTGCAATACCAATGCACTTACAGTAGCAGCACTTTAGGACACACTAACCTGTGGGCTACAGAAGATCTGCAGCAGTTACAATACAGATAACAGCTGCTTTCTGGGCCTGAATCACGTGATGAGCTCAGCAGTTGCTATATTGACATACACATCATTGTTTTACTAAGAGCTGAAACTTCCCATTTGAAGCCTGAGACGAATCTATCATTATGAAAAGCTACACTTCAGCTACACTTCATCGTAGCAGCATAATCATTTACTCTCGTAGTTTAAATCCCTTGCTGTATAATTCTTAATCTGCATAAATATATGTGCTTGTTAATCGCTGTTATTTTGATCTCCTGGTTTTACGGTCTCACCTTTAATCTGAATTACTCATATAAATGAAACCAAATGACTTCTTCAACACTGGATTAATGACACTGCATTACATTAAAAAAGTAGTATTTAACAACGTTCCACTTCAGTTCTGTCAAGTGTTACATTGTTCGAGTGTTACATCGAGTGTAAATTCATTTGAGAAGCAAAACGTAAATATGATTGAAAAAACAATCGTGAATATTTTCAAAATAGCGATACAAAGCAATTAAAGTTTAATCTTTAAGATTATTTTTTAGTTTTGATTTTCTTTAAAAATCCTACAATGTGATTTTCTGGATTTTTTTTTCTCATTTTGTCTCTCATAGTTGAGGTATACCTATGATGAAAATTACAGGCCTCTCTCATCTTTTTAAGTGGGAGAACTTGCACAATTGGTGGCTGACTAAATACTTTTTTTCCCCACTGTAAATGTGAGCCTAAATGTGAAAAATTCTTAAACTTTATTCAAGATTATTTCAAATCTTTACATAAAAATTTTTGCTTCTCAGCTGCACATCCATTCAAAGGTTTGGGGTTAGAATTTTTTTTTATTATTCAACAATGACGCATTAAATTGTCAGTAAGCAGCAGAACAACTTTCAACAATTTATAATAATAAGAAAATGTTTCTTGAGCACCAAATCAGCCTTTTAGAATGATTTCTGAAGGATCATGTGACACTGAAGACTGCTGAACAGATGTACTGTTTTTACTTTATTTTTGATCGAAAAAACGCTGTCTTGGTGAACATAGACTTAAAAAATGTACCAACCCCAAACTTTTGAACAGTGTAATTTAATTATGTTTTACTGTTAAACTAGATATAACCATGTCAGAAAACATGACATATCATGTTAAACACAGATTAAAAGATGTACTCCAGACTGATTTGCATAAAATGTGCTGTGACATAATAAACATGGCTTAATTTTGAGTAGATACAACATTGTTTGGCTTCCTAAATACAGCAGATTTTGAGGATTCAATACTTTCTCAATGAAAATACTTAAGTCACTGTCATCCTCTAAGGGATTGACGTTTGTTGTTTTTCTAGAGCTTTACCATGATTCCTATACATAACCTCAATAACAAAGACTTTGTTATAACAATGCCATTTGATGTACTGCACACATTCTCCTTGCAGAAAGTTAGACTTCTTAGACTCAAGTACTAATTACGAACCACTGCCGTGTAATTATCCACAGTGATCAAACACAAACGAGAGTAGCAGAACTGAATAATTGAAAGTGTGTTATCAGCGGATGTGGCCCATAGCTGCCGGAATGGAGTCAGGTTATACTAATCCTCATTCTACTGGAGTTTACATAATGCTTCATAAGGTCCTGCTGCTCATTGTTTTACTGTTCTGGCAAAGTTAATGTGCAACATACTTATCAGTGAGTTTATTGAAGGTAATTAACGACAGGATTGTCTAGGAGATGAACTAGGTGCTAAAATCTGTGTGGCCTTTTCACAGGCCTAGATGGGTGGACTAATTATGACAATGACAGTTCATTAGCACACATCACAGATAGACACAGCATGAGATGCATGCACAACCTCACACTTATAATCACACTCTCTCTTTTCACACTTCTCATTTACACGATCACGGCCTACACATTTCTCACTTAACTGCAAGCTAAAGCATAAAGAAGATTAGAGCAAGAGATTATGTCAGGATTTTTGACATGCGCGTGTGTGTATAGAACAGTGAAAAGCCACAGGTGGAGACTGATAGACCCACTGGCGTGTGTATAATCTTCTTCTCACGTGTGTTATTTTGGGAGTTTCATGCTTGTTACATAACCACCATCCCCCTCAAACACAGGATCACTACATAAACAGCAAAGCAGAAAAACACTCAAAACTGGTCAGAGTGGCTAATCTCTTCTGTACAAAATTACAAAACACAGGTAATGGAGTTATTGACTCTGATGGTAAACATTCTAGAATGAGGGTCTATAAATGTCACATATTTATGAATGGGAGAGGTGAATAATCAGTGTAGTGAGATATGGAGCTGAGAGATAAGAACAGCACTAGAATGACCAGTGCTCCTGTATGACACAGGAGATGAGGTCAAAGATCAGACCGTCTGATAGGTCGTTGACACCATCCTGCTCAACAAATAAGTTTCATTTAAAAGTTGCATAATATTTGTGTATTTATCCGCTTGTGTGGACTTCATATTTGTTCATTATTTAATTTTTAAATATTATATCTTTTAAAATCAACTATATTTTGATCATTTTTTAAAAACTACATTAAATTAATTATTTAAATTTTATTCTGCTTTCTATCAAATATAAGTATGTACAATACCATTCAAAAGTTTGGGATTTTAAAAAAAGAAATGAATACTGTTATTCAGCAATAATGCATTTAATTGATCAAAAGTTACAGTAAAAGTCATTTAAGATGTTACTAAAAGATGTCTGTTTCTTATAAATGCTTTTCTTTTGAACTATTCAACAAAGCATCCTGAAAAACATTTATCACATTTCCACAAAAATATTAAGCAGCTCAACTGTTTTCAGCATTGATAATAATAAGAAATGTTTCTTGAGCATCAAAACAGCTTATTAGAATGATTTCTGAAGACTAATGTGACACTGAAGACTGGATTAATGACTGCTGTTTCTTCTGTACTGTATTGTACACTGTACTTATCTGTTATTTGGGTGAGGTTTGCATGTGATGCTTTTGTATTGCAGTTTTTTTTATTTATTGTAATAATATTTCACAATATTACTGTTTTTACATTTGATCAAATAAATGCAGCATCTGTGAGCAGGGGAGACTTCTTGCAAAAACATTTTTAAAAATATTTTGTATGTAGTATTATCACAAAAATTCTGATTATGAAATCTCATATGCTCCATAAATGCAGAAATATACACATATCACTTGGGAAGCTGAGGGAAGTCTTATATAACAATGCCTAATGTGTGATCTAAAATGATATTAGCAGCTGGTTCTAATGCTAACATTGACATACTTCATGAAATCCTGAGCAAAACCGAGCCATGCTGAGGATTACGGTTACCTCACCAACTCCAATCAGGGCCAGTCACTGTCGCTATGGCAACCTGATGCTGCATCCCTTTGTTCGCACATTTAACACCTGACATGACCCTACAAGATAGGTGTTGTTGAGTAGAGACTCAATCACCATTTAGAACATAAAACTATAAAAAACCTTCAAGCTTTATGTGAAATCACATGACTACAACTACAGCTCGCAGTGATGCATTTAGAATAATAAACTCCTGTCCGTGTGTTTCCTGTTGAAAAATTGTTGTGTTTTGGAACATGGTAGCTGGTTTCTAGCTAGTCGACCTAAACCATGCTTGAAACCCCCTGGTAGCTGGTTTGCTGATCGTCCAAGACGATCTACAAGCGCGGACCTATTAGAAACCATCTGCAAGAAACCAAAACACATTGACCAGCTTAAACTGGATTCCCCAGTAGGGTTTGGAGGCCTCATAACCTCTTTTCCTTTAAGCAGATGCAATCTCATACAAAGACCACATCCAAGCAGCATCCTTCTCTATTACTCCTTCAACTGTCCACTTAATCTGTCATCTGTGAAACACAACGCTGACCACAACACCTTCAAAACAGGACAATACTGAGGACAATCAATACATCCACACACACACACACACACACCATCTTTCAGCTACACACACACACACACACACACAAATGCATGACTCCCAAAGGAAAAACATGAGCTGACAGCAACACAGCTGAGAGCTTAGAGATGGAGAGAAACAAGAGAATGAAAAGACAGAGAAGAAAATAAATATCTCAGATGAAAAGATACATGCAAACTATTGCTGGAAATCTCCCAAAACAGGTCAGAAAGGGCAGAATAAAAGAAGAGTGACAGAAAGAACATGTAGCAAACACAAAGCTACACTTCCTAAACCAACACACATCTCCAGCAATACATGTCTGTCATTCATTTCTCACTCACTCACACACATTGTCTTGTGA